TAATAACTCTTTTAGAACCAAATTGAACTTCACAAAAATCACCATATTTCAATTGAACGTCTTTGAAATATTCTGCAAAGTTTAAATTATATCTGATAATATCTATAGTATTTCCTAGGATAGGCACCCAAGGAAATGGACCAGGAAGTGGATTCAGTCTAGTAATTTATAATAATATCTAATTATATATAAAAGTAGTAACACAGCAATTGAAATTGGGATATTGGTAATTATAATATTTATAAAATGTATCATCACTATTATAATATTATTAAAATTCAAGAAAGGTGCAAGAATGAAAAAAAGTAAATAGGCTCTTGCGCTAGTGACTATTTTTATTTTATATAGAAATAAGTTATAGTAGAAATTAATCTAGAATGCGTCAATCTTAAATAGTATATTTTTATTCATAGTCATAAAGTAAGTAATCTCCGATAAAGCCAGGATATTAGTTGTAAGCTTGTACCTATCACAAGTCATTTCTTTGTAGATCATGTTGTTATCTTTATTAGAATTCAGAGAATTAACCATCTTTTTCCTTTACGTATATGAATTAAACCATTCTTAAATATTGTAAATCATAGATTTGAAGCTTTTAGATATTTGCTCGGTGTTCGTTTACACTATAAACTGATTTTTAATATATTTGAAATTTTATAATGGTTTCTATATTTTTAGGTTTTTCATATTTTCAAGTGTTTGATTGAAAATATTAAGAATTAATCTGCGTCGTTTTTCAATTTATAGATAGAATTTAACAATGATTCATAACATAATTTTAAAAGTTCATGCATTATTACTGAGATATGATCTTCCGACTTCATAATCTTTTTTTTATTTTTTTTTTTGAATTCTGAGTTTTGGAGTTTATTTTTTCCTCGGTTTGAATTTTTTTTTCTATAATCTTCAGTTTTATTTGCCTTTTTTAGGAAAAATTTACTAAGCAATTTTTTTAAGAAACGAAAATCATCACTAATCCAAAATAAATTACTGTAAAAGTTATTTATAGTAATAAATGTTTAACACGTATCACATATGTGATGAATAAATGCAAGGTTTAAGTTCACCATACAAATGAAACAGACGATTAGTGTTAATGTGTTCAAATTGTGATTATCCCAGTTTAGAAGCCTACACGGGCCTAAAAATTTATACTTTTGCCGGCCAGCAAATAGAATTTATTATGTTTTTTAAAAGTTCGGACCGTATTTTACTAGCAATTTTGTGAGGTTTTTAAAATTCTCTAATATAGGCCCGGCTTGTGCGGACCTTTATCCCGGTTTCAGTTCATTATATCTATGGTTCATTATAGATATTCATTATAATAAGCATCTGTAACATGAAATATACGATCATAAACTATAATAATACAGTATAGATGATATTAAATGACATTTAATTATTCACTATACGCATTATTTTTATTCTTTTACATAAGAGGATTAACTTTATTCCTTTTATTTGTTGTAAGTTCTATTTAATTTGCCGTCAAAGATGTGCTAACTTAGAAATAATTTTCAAGAGTATTATTATGCATGCGTTGTTTTAATTTCTATATTAGATATTTAACAGCTAGAAATGAACGAAGCTTAAGAAATACAAATAAGAAATACGAAACAGTAAGAAACAAATCAATATTAATTAGATATGGTTATGTCAAACTCAGATGGCCGAAAGGCTAGGCCACACAAAGTTAATTTTTCGTTTAGCATTACATGGAATCTGAAATTTGGGTCAGTTGGGGGGTTTTTTTTGTCAATAATCTCAGCTTCACTGGGTGAAACGGATAAAATGACGGAAAGGACAAAAATAGAACAATTTGCATACAGTAATTGAAAAATTGAAAAAATGGGTCATGCAAGTTGGTAATTTTGTATACGGTGTTATGCCGGAAATGGAATTGAATAAAATTCCCCGAAAAACATTGGATGAATTGATTCTGCTGTGTACAGTGTTGGAATTAGACCTATTCTAATAGTTTTGATTGGATTTATTGGACGATTGTGTGATTTGAATGATTTGAACAATTGGACAATTGGACATAGTTCAATTATGTCAATTGCTTAGTCAGACTAATGACGTTTAATTAGCCAATCAAATTTAATTTTGATAAATAGTTTTATTCGAATTACCAATATATAAATATTTTAATAAAAAATTATTGTTATTAAATATTTTAATAAAAAATTATTGTTATTAAATATTTTAATAAAAAATTATCGTTATTAAAAAATAAGAGAAAGACATAAACTTACCGAATATTTTGTAATTTTGGAAGAAAGGCAAACAAGTATAATAATTATGCTGTTTGTCAAGATTGCATTCGGGTTTTAGGCCAATCAGCAGCATTACAAAAAAAATTTACAAATACTAAACATGCATGTGCAAAACATCTTTTAAACTGTGAATATTGTACTGAAAGATATACTAAAGAACAAATTCAAGAAATTGTCCAAAAAGCAAATGAAAATGGATCTAATAAACGGCTTCGAGCAGGTTCTTTTAATTCTAATTTTGAAACTGAAGATAATGAATCAAGATCAACATCTTCAAATGAGATATTTATTACTCATCAAAATTATGAATTACTTGATAACTATTGTATAATGAGCTAAAGCCTGATCAAATTGAAGTATTTGAAAAACTATTATTAAATGCAACAGTTTTCTGCGGTTGGTCATTTGTTGGATTGAAAATCCAACAATAAAAGAGTTATTTAAATGGATTAATCTAATGTTACCTTTACAAAGTCGAAAACAACTAAGTGGACAAATTCTTAAAAAATCGACTGTTGAAATTTCTAAAACAATTTTAGATGATGTAATTAATGATGATCTTGGTGTTGTGCTTGTTTATGATGGGTGGAAAAATATTGCACAGTAAAATTTATTAGGATCAGTATTATTTACTTCAACAAAAAACATGATTATTTGGGATATTAAAAATTTAAGTGGAAAAAGAAGTAAAAGTGATGCTGTAATTGAAGAAACAAAAAAGGCATTTGATTATCTTAAACAAAAAAATATTAAAGTTAATAGATTAATTACGGATCCAGCTTCAAAACATGTTGCTGCAAAGTATAATATTCATTTATTATAAATAAATATTTATTTTTTTATATAATTTATAAATAATATTTATATAATTATTGTAATTATTTAGAAAACAATTACAGCTACAGTATCGTGAAAAGCTTTTTTATCCTGCTATGCACATCAGTTAAATTTGTGTATTGGTGAAATATTTAAAGAATCATCAAACTTAAACAAAACAGCTGAAGAAGTAATAAAATTAATTACATTTTTTTGTCGATCAAAAGTATCCGATATCTAGGTATGAAATTTTCATTGGAATTATTCAAGAAATCAGAAATCGAGAAATCAAATCGTGGATATCTTTTTTTTTCTTGATCTCAAAATTTACAAAATTAAATAAATCCGCAAGTGATTATTCATATCTACTTATTTCAACTACTTAATGCTTCCTCATTATTTGGTTCAATATCTAATGATTTGGATAAATCTATAAGTGACTTTTATATTTGCCCATAATATGATAAATTTTACCACTTTAATTGTGACTCTTTT